GGGCCTTGTGTGACAGAGAGAGAGACAGCGGGATTAGGTGAGGGAGCTGGATTCACATCAGTACAGATACAGGCGGGGGGGGGGGCGAGGCGGCAGGGGAGAGAGAGGCGGAGTGACAGTGTGAGGGAGCTGGATTAACATCAGCCACCCTGGGCTCCCTCTAATTTTTCCTGTCACCGCACAGTGTCCTCTCAGGTCTGTACATAACATCAACTTCCTGAATCATCGATCAATTTTCCTCACGTCAATCGGTGTACACAGACTCGGCAAGTGGTTATGTAGCCCAGAAGGAACATAGGTAAGCAATTCAGTCAGTGATACAAGTCATTGTGGCTGAGAAAGGGGTGACTGAGTGCTGGAATTGATTTAATTCAGTAACACAGAGGGTACTGAGTAATGCGAGGCAGCAATCTCACTGTTTCTAAGAGATATAGAATAGTATCAGTCACGATCGTACGAAGCAGGCTCAAAGGGCCGGATAGCCTACCGCTGCTCCTACTTTCTAGTAATTGCTTCTATAATTGCTGCAACTTACGTTTTAAACGTCCTTTGAAGTGCAACTCGATGTGTCCCCTCTCAGTGCCATGTTCCACATTTTTCCAGGTATGCCAATTGGGTCAACTGAAAAACATCACAACAGCGACATTACAGGGACAGATCTTTGTGAAAGGAATGATTCACCTGGATTTGGTACAGTGTGATCTGTCAGTGCCAGCACTCTAACACACAGCAGGTAAAGGGGAATGGTTCCTTTCCATCTGGTACTGCACAGTCCCTGTGTATTTCAGTATTAGCTCCATCCGTGCACAGTAACATGCACAGTCACATATATCTCACTGTCAGGTCTTGTACAGAGCAGCACGGCAAGTCTGGATGGCATTCCTTTTGATGAGTTTTGCGAGTTGAGGGTCCTGATTTCACACATGGCGACGTGATATCATTGAGGATTTGGGGAGTCAGCTGGAGAGGGTTTGGAAGAGATTTACCAGGATGTTGCTGGGAATGGGGGGTTTGAATTATAAGGAGAGGCTGGATAGACTGGGACCTCTTTCACTTAAGCGTAGGAGGTTGAGAAGTCACCTTACAGAGGTTTATATAATCATGAGAGGTACAGATAGGATTAATGGTAGCTGTCTTTTCCGTTGGATGGGGGATTTCAAGACTAGGGGTCATATTTTGAAGGTGAGAGGAGACAGATTTTAAAAAAGACAAGGTGGGGGGGCAAATGTTTTTACACAGAGGGTGGTTCGCATGTGGAATGAACTTCCTGAGGAAGCAGTGGATGTGGGCACAGTTACAATGTTTAAAAGATATTTGGAACAGTACATGAATAGGGAAAGGTTTGGAGGGATATGGGCCAGGAGCAGGCAGGTGGAACTAGTTTAGTTTGGGATTACGTTGAGCATGAACTGGTTGGACTGAAGGGTCTGTTTCCGACTTGGCTGAGGGAGGGACAAGACTGGCAGCTCGATATTCTGATATACAGAATCTTTAGATGAAATGCGAGAGGTATAAAAGATGAGGTGGTGTCACAATATTGATCAAGAAGTCAATTACTGCAGGGAGGAAAGATATTTCTTAGAAGGTTCCTCAAATATCAGCAGGACTTAAAAAGAAAAAAAGGAGCAGTCACTTTACTGGGGGTGTCCTAAAGACTCACAGTTAGGGAGAAATGGAAGGGCAGATATGTAGGTGACTCTCAGAGATGAGTAAAAATAACAGGGCGATAACAGTAGGGGATTTCAACTTCCCAAATGTAACTGGGATAGAGAAAACATGAAAGGCTTAGAGGGCACAGAAAGTCCTGCTGGAGATGGGGTGGTACTGGACCTAATTTTAGGGAACGAAGACAGGCAAGTGATTGATGTGGCAGTGGGGGAGAATTTCAGTGACAGTGACCTTAACGCAGTAAGTTTTCTAAGGTCGTCATGGATAGTGACAAAGATGGTCCAGAAATAAAGGTTCTGAACTGGGGAAAGGTTGATTTTCATATAAGACTGGCAGAGATGGATTGGCAGCAGGAACATCCACATCAGAGCAGTGGGAGACATTCAGAAGGATAACAGAGAGGGAGCAGGAGCAAGATTTTCCTGTAAAGATGAAGGGTGGGACCAACAAATCCGGAGAACCCCAGAAATCAAGGCATCTGCAGGATTGGAGAAGGAAATAAATGAAGCTTATGGATTCTGAAGACACAATATTGGGATGCCTGAGAGGAGTACAAAGAGTGCAGGGGGTGGATTAAAAAGAGGAATTAGGAGAGCAAAAAGGCAACATGAAAAAACACTGGTGATAACGTTAAGGAAAATCCAAAGGCTTTTCACAAGTGCATTGGGGCAAGAGAACAACCAGGGGAAGTGATCTTTGAGTGCAGATTCATAGTTTGTTGAAAGTGGAGTCGCAGGTAGACAGGATAGTGAAGAAGGTGTTTGGTACGCTTGCCTTTATTGGTCAGTGCATTGAGTATCGGAGTTGTGGCTGTACAGGACATTGGTTAGGCCACTTTTGGAATACTGTGTTCAATCCTGGTCTCCCTGCTATAGGAAGGATGTTGTGAAACTTGATAGGGTTCAGAAAAGATTTACAAGGATGTTGCCAGGGTTGGAGGGTTTGAGCTACAGGGAGAGGCTGAAGCGATGGAACAATGGGTGAATAGTTAAGGTCTTTTTCCCAGGGTAGAGGAATCCAAAACTAGAGGGGCATAGATTTAAGGTGAGAAGGGAAAAATTGATAAGGGACCTAAGGGGTAACTTTTTCACACAGAGGGTATGGAATGAGCTGCCAGAGGAAGTGATGGAGGCTGGTACAATTACAACATTTAAAAGGCATCTGGATGGGTACATGGATAGGAAGGGTTGAGGGGGATATGGGCCAAATGCTGGCAAATGGGACCAGATTAATTTAGGATATCTGGTCAGCACAGACGAGTTACACCGAAGGAGTCTGTTTCCGTGCTGTACGGGTCTGTGACTCAATGACCCATTACAGTAAGTAAGTGAGTGATTGAACGAATAAGTGATCAGCCAGAAGACAGCTGTGGTTTAAATCAGTACTTTGCATCTGTATCCATTGTAGAGAAGGATGATGCAGGTATAGAAATCAGAAGGACAGTTACAAAGTTAGCACTGAAAGAAGAGATACGAATGGACTTCTCAGGCTTGAACTTGGATAAACCCTCAGCCCAGATGAGCTGTATCCCAGGCTGCTGCTGTGGCAGACACAGGAGGAGATTACAGGAACCCTGACAATAATTTCCGAATCTGGCTACAGGAGGGGTGCCAGAGGACTGGAGGACAGCTGACGTGGTACTCTAATTAAAGAAGATAAATGAGGCAACTGCAGCCCAGTGAGTCTGAATTCTGTGGCCGGGAAACTATGGGGATAAATTCTGAGGGGCAGAACTAATCTCTATGCGAAGAGGTGAGGATTAATCAAGGATAGTGGCTTTGTTGGGGGGAAATTTGTCGAGAAGGTGACTAGGTGTGAAGATGAGGGTAGAGCAGGTGATGTCGTCGACATAGACTTGTATAAGGCGTTTGACACAGACGGCAGACTGGTCAAGATCATCCAGGGCAAGTTGGATCCAAAATTGGTTTAGTGGCAGGAAGCAGGTGATGATGTTTGAAAGAGGGGATTTTGTGACTGTATCCTGTGGTGTACCACAGCCTTCGGTGCTAGCTCCCTCACTGTTTGTTGCCTACGTTAATGATCTAGATGTGGATCTAGGTACGGTCAGTAAATTTGTGGATGACACAACAATTGATGGTGTGCTAAATAGCGAGGTGAAATAGCAAGACTAAAAGGATGATATAAATAGGCTGGTCAGATGGTCTGAACAGGGACAAATGGAATTTAATCCTGGCAAATATGAGATGATGCACTTTGGGAGGAGTACCAAGGTGAGGGAGCACACACTCAATGGTAGGACCCTTTGAAATGCAGGGATCAGAGGGACCTTGGTGTAAGTGTCCATAGATCCTTGAAGACAACAGGACAAGGAGATAAGGTGGTTCAGAAGGCATATGGAATGCTTGCTTCTATTCATCAAAGCATTAAATACAAAAGCGAGGAGGTTATGATGGAGCTGGGTAAGATGCTAGTTAGGCCACAGCTGGAGTAGTGTGTGCAGTTCTGGTTGCCACCTAATAGCAATGATTAGATTGCACGAGCTGAAGAGATTCACCAACATGTTGACTGGGCCGGGATTGTTCAGCTGTGAAGACAGAGGCTGAGAATTCAATTGAGGTGGGCAAAACTCTGAGGGGCCAAGACAGAGCAGATAGAGAGAAGGATCAATATCAGAGGGTCCACTACATTGGCTGCCCACAATGTGGTCTCCTGTACACGGTGGGAGATGAGGTACAGGCTCGTGACTGCTTTGCAGAACACTTACATTCTGCCCACAAAATTGGCCCTGAGCTTCCGGTGGCCTGCCATTTCAACACCCCAACGCGTTCCCTGGCTAACATCTCTGTTTCAGACTTGCTGCAGAGTTCCAGCAAAGCTCAGCAGAAGCTGGAAAGTCAGCGCCTCATTTTCCGCTTGGAAACCCTGCAACCTTCAGGGCTCAATATTGAGTTCAATAATTCTAGGGCCTCAGCACTTTCTCCTGTGTCCTTACCCCAACCTCCAATCACCAGGCCTTGTCATCACATGGCCTGTTACTCACACATCAGCCACTCACAGTCCCCATTAGCAGCTATCCATTCTCCTAGGCTGATCGTTACCTATTCTTTCATCTGCCCAACTGTTTCTCTCTCTCTCTCTCTGGGCTACACCTACACCTATCATTTACTCCTTACCCCCACCCCACCTCCATCCCATCTTCAGCATGTACACCAACCTTTTCCCAGCTACAATCACTTCTGAAGAAGGGTCTCCGGACCCGAAATGTCAACTCTGCACTCTCCCCCACAGGTGCTGCCAGACCCACTGAGCTTTTCTGGCAATTTCTGATCCTTGTTTCAATATCGGGGTAGGGTACAGCTTTAAGGCAAGAAGCTGGAGGTTTAGAGGGGATTTGAGAAAAAAATATTTCCACCCACTGGGTTGAAAACATCTGGAATACTCTGCCTAAAAATGTGGCAGAGGTCAGAAGCCTCAAGACTTTTCAGTGTTATTTAGACAAATACTTAAAATGCCACGGCCTACAAGGTCAAGTGTTGGAAAATGGGACGAGCATTGACACTGTTTGATGACTGGCATAGACATGATGGCCTAAGGACCTCTTTGTAAAAGTTCTGACTCGAAAGAAGAGCGATTCTCTCCTGACTAGTACTGTACGGTCCATGTGTGCCTCATTGTCAGTTCCCTGACATGTGCGTTAACATGTGGATAAGGGGGAAACATTCACTCCTATATGGGACTGTACACTGTGCCCCTCTCTCTCTCTCTCTCTCAGGGTCAGCTTCTGTACAAATGCAGTAGCACACGCCATGTGTGGGTGTCTCAGCATCAACCACTAACCATGTCCAGAAACACAAGCTGGTGTAAAGGAATGATTCGCTCCAGCCTGATACTGAACGGTCCAGGTGACTGTGTCAGTTCCTGGGTACTAGGCAGTGGTTCGTTCCTATATGGGTCTGAACAGTCTGTGGGTCTCTCAATGTCAACTCTTGTGCATGTGCAAAGTCATATAGCGGGCAAAAGGAAGTGATTCACTCCCGACTGACACTGTACATTCCACGTGTTTCTCAGCATCAGCTTAAATACATGCACAGTGTGTAAAAGGGAACAATTTAGATGCTGGTATAGTACGGCCCATGTGACTTTCAGTGTCAGGTCCTGTACATGCGCAGTACCATACAGCAGATAAATGGGAGTAACACACAGTGGGCAAAAAGAAATGACTCACTCCTGTCTGGCCCTCGTGTCTCGCAGTTTCAGCTTCTAGAAACGTAGAACATAGTGACAGGAGCAGGCCATTTGGCCCTTCGAGCCTGCTGGACCATTCAGTGTGATCGTGGCTAATCATCCAACTCAGTATCCTTTTCCCACTTTCACCCCATACCCTTTGGCCCTGCAAAATATATCTATCTCCTTGAAAACATTGAATGTTTTGGCCTCAACCGCTTTCTGTGACAGAGAATTCCACAGGCTCCCCACTCCTTGGTGAAGACGTTTCTCCCCATCTTAGTCCTAAACGGCTGATTCCATACCCTTAGACTGTGAACCCACTGTTTCTGGACTCCCTGGTCATAGGGAACGTCCTTCCTGTGTTGACCCTATCTAGTTCTGTTCGAATTTTATCGGTTTCTATGAGATCACCCCTAATTCTTCTAAATTCCAAGAATAAAGTCCAAACCGATTCAGTCTCTCTTCACATATCAGTCCTGCCATCCTGAATCAGTCTGGTGATGTACAAAGAAGGAAGAGATTCACTCCCACTTGGTACCATACATTGTGTGTGTCTCAGTCTAAGCTCCTATACATGTACGATAAAATAGCAAGGAAAATGAGTCATCACTCCCATCTGTTACTGTATGGTCTGTGTCTTAGTTTCAGCTCCGGCACATGTACAATAACATAAACAGGGATAAAAGGAGTGACTCATTCTGGCTGGTACTATACAGTCTGTGTCTCTCTCGGTGTCAGCTCCCAACCATGTACAGTATGACAGCAGTTAAAGGTACAGCGATGAATTGATTATTTTACAGATTCAGTGATGCACTGATGATCAATTACTGAGTTCAATGGCTGATTCATTGGTATCAGTGACACATGGTTGATAATTCACTGGGTTCACTGATGGACTGTCTATTAATCGTAGTATTCAGTGATGGATTGTTGATGATTCCCCTAAGTTCAGAACTGGGTTACTTATAAATCATATGGTTTAGTGATAGACTGTCAATGCAACACTGTATTCAGTCCATGCATTGTTGATCGTTCACTCGGTTAAGTCCTGATTTGCCTTTCCAAAATGCAGCACCTCACATTTATCTAAATTAAACTCCATCTGCCACTATAATTACACAGTGTGGAGCTGGAGCAATACAGGCCAGGCAGCATCAGAGCAGCAGGAAAGCTGACGTTTCGGGTCGGGACCCTTCTTCAGAAATGGGGGAGGGGAAGGGGGCTCTGAAATAAATGGGGGGGGGGGGGGGTGGGGGGGGGAAAGGAGGGGGGGGTTAGGGGGGGGGGGAGGGGGGGGATGGCGTTGGTCGTGGGATGAGGTCGGGGGTTGGGGAGATTTTGAAGCTGGTAAAGTCCACATTGAGACCATTGGGTTGTAGGCTCCCAAGGCGGAATATGAGGTCCTGCTGCCCATTGGCCCATCGGATCAAGATCCCATTGTACTCTGAAGTAACCATCTTTGCTGTCTACTACACCTCCAATTTTAGTGTCATCTTCAGACTTACTAACCACACCTCCTATGTTCACATCCAAATCATTTATATAGATGACAAAAAGCAATGGACCCAGCACCGATCCTTGTAGCATACCGTCAGTCACAGGCCTCCAGTCTGAAAAGCAACCCTCCCCACCACCCTCTGTCTTCTACCTTCGAGCCAATTCTGTATCTAAGTGGCTAATTCTCCCTGTATTCCGTGTGATCTAACTTTGCTAACCAGTCTACCATGAGCAACCTTGTCGAGTGCCTTACTGAAGTCCATATAGACATCATCGCTCTGCCCTCATCAATCCTCTTTGTTACTTATTCAAAAAAGTCAATCAAGTTAGTGAGACGTGATTTCCCGTGCACACAGCCATATTGACTATCCCTAATCAGTCCTTGCTTTTCCAAATACAGTCGTTTCTGATATAACGCGATAGTTCCGTTCTCGTGTGATCTCGCGTTATATGAAAATCACACAAACAGCCGTGCTATTTAAACCAATGGGGCCAGAATCGCATTATAGCCAACATGGGTAAGGAAAGTTCGCATTCTATAAACAGCAGCCTAAATTTTTCAATTGTGTTAAAGCCAATTTGCATTATAGCAGAACTGACTGTACATGTAAATCCTGTCCATCAGGATTCCCTCCACCACCGATGTCAGGCTCACCGGTCTATAGTTCTCTGGCTTTTCCTTACCACCTTTCTTAAACAGTGGCACCATGTTAGCCAACCTCCAGTCTTCCAGCACCTCACCTGTGGCTACTGATGATACAGATGTCTCAGTAAGGAGCCCAGCAATCTCTTCCCCAGCTTCCCACAGAGTTCTAGGCTACACCTGATCAGGTCCCGGGGATTTATCCACCTTTATACGTTTCAAGACATCCAGCTACTCCTCCTCTGTAATGAGGACATTTTTCAAGATGTCACTATTTATTTCCCCACGTCCTCTATTTTCCATATCCTTCTCCACAGTAAACACTGATGCAAAATACTCATTTAGTATCTCCGCCATCTCCTACAGGACGTTGGTTCGGCCACTTTTGATATACTGTATTCAATTCTGGTCTCCCTGCTATAGGAAGGATGTTGTGAAACTTGAAAAGGTTCAGAAAAGATTTACAAGGATGTTGCCAGGCCTGGAGGGTTTGAGCTGTAGGGAGAGGCTGAATAGGCTGGGGCTATTTTCCTTGGAAAGCTGGAGGCTGAGGGGTGAACTTTATAGAAGTTTATAAAATCATGAGGGGCATGGGTAGGGTGAATAGC